TTGTCAATGACGCACAAAGTTACTGCAGGAGAAATAAACTCATCTGTCATAAGTGGCGCAATTGGGGCCCACTGACTGAATGAGGCCACAAGTCCATGAGGCTGATTTAGTAATGGCAAAAAAGACTGTTCACTTTGTAAGGGAAGTTGCACTTTGCAGTGGAAGTTTCTTCTTAGTTTAGTGAATGCGGTGAAGCTCTGCTGACTTCCATCACCCAATCATTTTCATTGAATGTGACTGGGTATTGTTTGCACAGTGAAATTTCACCACATTTACTAGGGGGAACTTCCCCTGCAAAGTGCAAATTCCTTGCAAAGTGAATAGCTTGTTTGCCTTTAGTAAATCAACCCCCATAGGTCTCTATACAAAATTGTTGTACATTGAAGGCTCCTACCAATATAAATACAGATCATGTGGGTTCACCAGGGGCCTTTAGATGAACAAAAAGGTAGTGCAGAGGTTCTTACACTAACAGGCCCTACTTAGTCCATGAACTGAGCCTGGGACACAATTAGTATTCTCCTAGTAGGGAAAAAAAACTTATAGGGTTATTCTCAAAAGAGTGAAGAGTTAGAAGAAGGCAGGAGAAGTGAACAATCTAGGCCAGGGGTGCCCACAAGGTCGATCGCGATCTACCAGTCGATCGCGTAGCGATCACTGGTAGATCGCCATGTCCTCTCCTCCCGCCGCTTCAGACGAAAAATAGTGGGCGCCCCTGATCTAGGCCAAAATAGCTGATTTGGAAACATTCTCCAATTCAGCTCACATTCTAGTTCAGCTATGTTGTCCTGGATCGTTCACTTCTCCTGCCTTCTCCAAACTCTTCACCCTTTTGTGAATAACCCTGCTAGTGAACATCAGAATATGAATGTTAAAAATGTAAATTTTTCTACAGAAAAGAAGATTTGTTTTCTCCTGTCATACTGTAGGTGTTTCCTTATATCCAGGTACGGAATAATAATAGTCCAAAAACAAAACTCATAGATGACAGCTATCTGCTCCCCAATCGTCCTAATGTGTATGTATAGCCAAAACATTCTTTTTAAGTTTTGGATAGAGAATGAAAGGGTTAAAACCTCTTCCATTTAATATTTTGCTGCATATGTCTCGAGGGGATGATTTCCATTCACTTCCTGTCTCTGAAATGCAACAGGAAAGTAGAGGAAATCTTGACAAAGTTAGGGGGATTGCCCGTTTAGACAGTTGTCACTAGAACAGGTATCCCATTACAAGATTTACCCTTCACTTCCTGTTGAAATGACAGCTAGAACATTTTAAATTTCCCATCACTTTTTGTCTTGGTGACCCTGGTCACTAAGACAAACAGAGAGGGTGAATCTCCCCTGTCAGGACACAGATGACATTACAAATTTGGCTAAAAAAGGCTTTGGCTATGCATACATTTTAATTTGAATGTTCAAGGCAGGATTCATAGAGATTATGTGATATAATCGTAATAATGATTCTATGTAAAACCAATGACAATAAAAAAAAATCACTTCTTGCATATAATGCATTGTAACATTTTTGGCCCCATTTCATTATAACTGCAATAGCTGGAACGCTCTTGAAAAACTGGTGGATGAGCTCAAAAGCATAAGAAGGCTTTATATGACAAGAATATTATGTTTTCTTCTGCAGAGTAAACCATCAATGACCCCTTCAAAGTCAGCTTATAAATTAACTGGCATTAAATGTGAAATACTGAGGCTTAAAACTCCATTTGTATAAATAAAATAATACATTTGGATTTTGTTGCTGCGTCGATTCCACAATACAGCAAATAAAGGGCTTACATTATTTATAAGGTAAGTTTCACACATACATGGAAATACTTCTCATGTATGGCACAGAATCATAAAATTCTGTATAAATAATGCATGTAGTTTATACAGACTGATTACATAGATCTCTGCTATATATTCATCAGTATTGTAAGTTGTATCATTTATTCATAATGGCCCTAGCCTAATGCACCTTAGTGTACAAACAAGTCCACTATCCTGATACAAGTATGGTCATGCTTCATGTACATTGCTTGTGACTCTCATTGTCAATCTCATGTTAAACTCTTCCTATCACCGCTTTATAGGAACACAGTAGAATTTGACAAGTCACTGATCTAAATTGATTTATGATTGTGATGAGTTTGGAGGGAATCTAGATCTTCTAAAGCACAGAATTCACCTTTCTGACTGACTTGACATTGAAAGACACAGACACAGAGACATCCACAAAGTATTTAAAGGGTAACTCCACTTTTGTTATAAAAGTGATATCACATATGTAAGTGCTGCCTAAGCGATATTGTTATCTAATTTAGTGATAATAAATAATGAAACATGGGATTTCTTGGATGGGGAAGTTCTGTACTATAGTATTTTACAGACGTCCCACAGAATTACAATGCTGTTAAGATTGGCTCATTGCTATTCCCTGCATTTTTGTACAAGTTATTTACAACATTGGAACTTATGTGATTACAGCAGGGAGTCCATCCAACTCAGCAAGTAGGACGTGACTGTGGAAAGTAAGAGGTGAGGAGAATCCATGCATGAATTTTAAGAACAGCAATATCAGGGAGCACATTTACTAACAGACAGTTGGAACGGCTTTCTTAAAGCTCTCAAAGTGACCTTACACTCAAGTCTAAGAGCACTGAATGATTACTTTCATGCAAGGCCTGGCTGCAGCTACAGCTCTACCCTTAACTTGATAAAAAGCCCACAGATGCCTTGTAAAATCATGTTTAAAGCTATAGCCAAGTTAAGTTGTGATATGCTTATAGGAGCTACTAAACATGGAGCTTTTCTGACTAGCATTTACAAGCTAGAGCTAAAAAGTTCATGTGTTTATGGCTCTGAGACAGTACAGTGACATCATCAACATAGTAAACCATATTCAAAAAGTCTTGCAAATGTATTTGACCAATGTTCTCATTTTTAATAATTTATAATTGGAATTGTATTCACTGTGTTATGGTGTATGAAAGCCATAAAACAATTGTTTTCCAAAATGATTAGTATATTAGGGATCTAGATGGTTGAAGTTATATTTAAACCTTAACTTTTTCTGTAAATTAGAGCTTGCCCCCACTGCTTGGCATTCATATTAGTCAGTGAGGCTATCCTTCACATTAAAGGAGCCACAGAAATGTAGGGGCAAGCCCAACTTTGACAGGAAAAGTGAGATCCTAGCTTCTGCTGCCTAAATATAACATTTACTGATCATTTATATATTTTTTATTAAAAGTAACCTCTTGCTGATGCATTTTTTTCATCATATGATCAGCTTGATTTTTCCGGGCTTGTGACATTTTTAATTTAGATAATAATAATAATAATAACTTTAATAAGAATTATGCTATTTGCCTTATTCCTTTATCCCTACACTAGCCAAGATAGCATCTACGAGTGGTTTTAGACCATTCTTCCAGGCAGATTTCCTCCAGCCCGAGCTTCTCAGTGAGATTGAGATTGCAAAAGACCATTGAAAGACATTTACTTTTGTTTTTTAATTACTCCAATGTTACTATGGCCTTGTGTTTAGGTTCACTGTTTTGCTGGAGGATGAAGAATCAATTCTTAGCAGGCTAAAACAGGTTATTTGGATTATTTCTTTATATTTTAAACTATCCACCCTTTCCTCTGTTTTAAGAAGATACCCAGTCGCTGCTAATGAAACATAGCCTTAGCATAATGCTAGCATCAACATATCTCACTATACTGTAGCTAATGTGTTTTTCAGGTTTGGGCAGTATTAGATTCATGCCACACATATAACTTTGATATCTAAGAAAACACAGATTACATATAAAAGTTTTACCCACTCTACATCTTAGTCACTCATTCTTTTTTGGCAGTTGAGAATTAACATGGTTGTTTTTTTTTTTTTAAATCTTCTTAGCTTCAGCCCCTTAAACAGACCAGTGGATGGAAATGAATAACTGGTGTGCCTTTATTCTAGTCCTAGCTACTGAACTGTATAGCTCTTCTAAGGTGATTTTGGAGCCTCGCTGTTGGTCCTGCCCTTGTCTCGATGGGGAGATTCGATGAGAGTGTCCGACTGGTTTCATACACTGTCCTTATAGTTATATAGTCTATATATGCTATTTACCATTTTCCTCCAAGAGTCTTCTGGCCAGTATGGTAAAAACCTAAAGCTTTTACAATATTCTTGAGCTGCCACAAGACTTGTACAGAGATTTCCATAGCTGTACATGTTTGATTAATGACATTCCCTGACAGCTTTGGGCTGGTTACAGCTGTGTATGGCCGTCTCATTCCAGGGCCTGCAGAGGAAATTGTGTCCCTCCTGTTGTTCCGTTGAGTAAATCACGTACTGTACTTTATGAGTTGAAAAGTATGCTTCATAATAATTGCATTAACTAGGTAATTTGCACAACCTAATTACAGCAATTACAGGATCCCAGACAAGTCTAAGAATGGAACAGCTATGACATGGTACCCATTTGTGAGAATTTGATATTGTCAAGGTGACCTACAATTCCAAAAGGAATGCACACTTTGTACCCAGTCAATTGACAGAAGTAGGTGGTTTCAATTATAACTCTGCAGTTGTGATAGCTGCATTGCAATAATCATAATACTAAGATATACCCAGCATTCCTGCTATCGTATGCCTTATTCTATCATTGAACAACAGACACAGCTCAGTCGCAGGAGTATTTACAGGGATCAGGCCAGGTAACATCTAGCCCTGCTTATAAAATGGTCTAAAAGGCCATCTACAATTGTGTTCTGCAGAAACTGGCTGAGATTTGATGTGACATTTCTTCAACCAGATAGTCACTCCTTCTTGTATTATTATTATTAGCATAATCATAGTCAGTAGTAATAATAATAATAATAATAATAAACAACATTTTCCAACTTTTATGTAAAAAATAACCTGGAAAACTGTAAACCACGAAACCCCCTATTATCCTGTGATTTAACACTGTACATTTACATGCAATAATCTCAGATTTAAGGGCTGACCTTCAGGGCCTGGAAGTGAGATCACAATTCAAATATCCATTTCCATATTGATCATTAGACGTAAGAGGGGGAAACATCAAGATTGTTAGAAAATTCAGCAATAATCCCACATTCTGGTTACAAATCAACTTTCTTGCAGCAAGTCCCAAACGTACCAGTGGAGCCAAACTATTATCAGTGCTTTTCTAGAGTAAAACTTTGGCTGGTATTGAGCCAATTTAAGGCTGGGGCTTTCTAAAAATTGTCAGCAAGAGATTCAACTTGTGAAAGGTATGCACACCTGTATAGAGCATGAATTACAACGTAAAGGAATTCCTGCACAGCAGGTTTCCACTGCTGATATACATCACAACTACATAAGAATGATGCAGAGGTTTCATTGTGTCCTAATATTGTCTAAATATTACAGCAAAACTGTCCTTTATAAGCAAGAATCTTATTTACCTTCATTAAGATCATACTGCCCCCCATTTTCCTCAAGATGCATTTCACAAAATTTCAAAACATCAGTTCTAAAGTCTGATTAAAGTGAACCTTTTAAGTCCAAAATAAGAAATAAAATGGTGCTGTTACTGATATGGGCGTTTTCTCCGGTGCAACCACAATGCAAGACAAGGCAGTTTGCCCTGTTCCAGATGGGCTCAGTTCACACCACCATGGTGGTGGTGTGTGCTGAAAAAAAGTATGGCATGCAGTACTTTTTGTCAGAGCTGTGCGATGTGGTTGTTGTGCCCATAGAACTTAATGACATTTCACTTGTTACACTTTAATAAAGTTTTAACCAACAAAAAAGGAAACAGTGTGATGCGTCACGATCCGTGCCTCGGCACTGTGCCAGGCATGTGCACACTAGCAGCAGTGTGGTGTAGCATAGCTGCTGGTGTGAATGGGCCCCAAGTCTTTCTCTAACCACTTCCTGCATACATTAGCCATTTGCTTTGCCGAGAGCAGTTAAACTTGACCATCACAGAAAGGCTTGTCGTATCTTTGAAGGGCAGGCTACACCCAATGGGGGAATAAATTGGTCTCTGGAGATAAACTGGAGTTTATGTTCACTAATTTTGCACCAGTGAGTTTATAACCGGTATCATTTATATTTGGCAGTGGTTTCTGTGCGCATTGGAAATAGAAAGGGTTGCTTCGACATTCTTCTTTGGGGGTATATTAGCTATATACTGTAAAACCTGCTCTAATCTTTCAAGTTTCTGTAAACAGAGCAAATTCTGATGTTAGGAAAGTGCCTGACTTCACCCCGAAATGTTGTTCATGCTACATTTTAACAATATGTGCTATGGGCCTGCAGAACAAAAGGTCGATCTGCTGACTGCTGTGAAACACTGATAATAGCTTGCTTTATCCACATTAGCACATGCACAAATACACAATACGAAAAGGTTCTTTCCCACAATACATGCAATAAATACAAGGCTTACAAGGAGAGCATGACTGACCAGGGTTGTGCTAGAGCTTTCTCACTGAACACAGCCCCTGTTGGCTTGTATAAATGCCGATGACCAGGTTGCCTATACAGTATATGAAGTAAACATAAGAAGTCACATCTAATTTGAATACAATTAACACACTGCCACAATGTGAAACATGTTTCCTGCCCTCTCTCTTTTTTTGCATCCATCTGTAACGGTGCTTAATTTTGTATTTTTGTATGGATGAAGTTGGGAAGATCAGGGCTTTTCTCACCCATGTAGGATGGGTAAACAAACATGCCTGATATGGCATCATTATAACTTGTTAAATGGAAATGAGATTTAAATATGAGAGAATGACTAAAACATCATAACCAAGATGTTATTCCCTATTTTATGTAAAAAAACAAAAACCATTGTCTTGATGGCCCTTCTCTATTGGCAGGCGACTTGCAGCCAGTCAGCTGTTAATATATTAAATCCAGTACATCCTTCGCTGGCACTGGTTATTCTGCAAAAGTGGGGGAGTCAGTTTTGAGAGGCCAGGAAATAAATGTTAGAAAGTCACCATAGGAGATGCAGCCGTAGGCAAACCCTGGCATGTATGCAGGTAATGCTTAAACCCCTATCACTTTCCAAAGAGGCAAAGTAATGTGGCAATTGCCATATTTAAGTGCCAACTTCTATAAGATGAAGGTAATCTCAAGTCTCCTAATAATATGAATAACACACTGAGCTTCCCTGTGGACATGTGTAATGACACCACAGTTGTATATTAATGCTGCCATATTGTAACAACAGCGCTAAAGGCATATAAGTTGGAGAAATTTGCTCATGCAGAAATGCATTTGTGCCCAGAAAAAAGAAGTGTCTGGTGCTTGTTTTGAAATTTACAATCAGAGAGAAGGGTTCGTAAGATACCTCATATTTGCTAAATACTTTTGCTGGAGAAAGAATTAAACTAGTCACTAGTTAAATACTTTAAACAGAAGTCTTAACTAGTTAGCTTGACAACCCCTGCATTATCAAATTCATAAAAGCGCACCAACAGATTGTTTTCTATGTATTTTTCATATACTATATGTGCCTTCAGAGTGAAATAAGTAGCATCAGTCATATGCTCCTTGCATTAAGGGAATCACAGACACATGAAGACACCGCTCACAAGTACAGGATGTGAGGTAATAGACTGATGATCAGTGGATTTCGCCGTCTAATACGATGGTATGGGGATGATGAAGTGCAGGAATGAAACTTGGGGGGAAACAGGGGTCCAAATTTGCTCATGCACCAGTGCCCCAATGGATTTGATTTCAAAGTGTAGAAGGCAATGAATGTTGCTGACACACGTGCTCGCTATGCTGACTCACTTGGTGACCATAAACATACAACCTCCATTGCCACCGGCTGTGCCAAGCTATTTTGTGTGCTCACTAGCTTATTTCAGTGACATCATGCTAGAAACCAGTGCTCAATCTTTTGCTACCAGCTATTAGTCCTTCAGAGTAGGAAGTAATGATCCAACTTATTTTCATACGCTGAAATTTATTTTTTAATTAAAACATTGAAATAGATATTGTTTGTCAATATCTGACAATCTGATGTCCAGATAATTGTCAGATAACAATACATGTGAAAGATTTTATAAAAATTATTATATTATCAGTCTTATATAATGTTTAGATTGCATGATCTCCAAGTCTAAAAAGCTGGCAGCAAAAGTAAAGTCTACATTGAGTGAATAAAGCATTTCTTTACCTTGTCTTCCAGGAGTTCCTGCTGGTCCAGGATTTCCTTTGGGACCTGGTGTGACTAGCCCTGAGAGACCTGGTTGTCCTGGTGGTCCTGGGCTACCTGGACCTCCAGGATAACCACTGTCTCCTTTTAGACCCGGAAATCCAGGAGATCCGGGAGGTCCAGAAATTCCTGGCTCACCCTTTGCACCTGCAATTACAAAGACAAATCATATAATTAAATTAAAAGTTATCCACAGATCAAATCAACTGTACCATATGTGTGCTATCTACAGAAAACACAGATACAAAACACCTTTACAGGTCTCAGCTAACTATGAAGATTATATTTGGTAAATGCAATTAGGGCTTAAAAGTGCGATATGGTCATGGAGACCCAACCTGCAACATGAGCCTTACTAATACACAACTCAAATGAACAGTCTTTTGGCGACCTTTGGAGTTCTACAAGCAGTTCTGGGAGCTGTTGAGGCTGCTGGAGGTTTTCCAGCAATGCCTGTACGCAGGCTCCCATTTTCCGCTTAATTATTTCCCATAAAATAATTTCGTAAAGTAATTATTGTATCATTGCATTACGGTAACTGTGAAAATATATATTTTTAGAAATTGTTAAACTTGTTTGGATGTTATTTCACTGGTCCTCAAAACAAGCACAATATTAGGTAATAGGTGAATAATGATGAGTAAAATAAAAGTAGACCTAAGCTTACATTCTAAAGCATGGTTGTTTAACAGGCACCCATTAGCATAGTTTATTGTGATGAAGCAAATCAGTAAAAAATGTACATTTTGCAAATAATTCCCTCTGTTTTAGCCCATAGGTGCCTATCAGAAGTTTGATAGGCATATCCCACTGGCCCCTGCTCCTGATTATTAAGCTATATTGATAGTCTCACCAGGGGGGTCTAGGAACAGGTACAGCTGTTTCACTCAGACACTGTGCAGTGGATAAAACAGTAGGCCAGGACAAAATAGCAGCTTCAGATTTTGTATTCTAGGTGCTGCATCATTCACTACTGACTAGTCTTATGCTACTTAAAGAATAAGGCTGCCTAAATATAGGTCTACTTCAAGGTAGAGGAGCCACTAAAGCTATGAAAAGAATGACAGATGAAGTAAAAACCTTACCTGGACTCCCAGGAAGTCCAGACAATCCTGGGGATCCAAAACCGGGTAATCCTGAAACACAAACATTAACACTTAGGAAAGCTGAAGGCATATAATAAAATGTAATCACACAATATAATCACAAACCTGGTTCGCCTTTCAGACCAGCAGGCCCAGGAATTCCATCTTGACCAGGCTGACCTTTTTCACCTGGAGATCCTGGTGACCCAGGACGACCAAATTCTCCTACAAAAATGATACAGAAAACTTAATAAACTATTAACACAGATGCATGCAAAAATGTTACAGAACACATATTACACCTCATGTTATTAAAATTTAGTTTACAGCCAATATTCAGCTGAAAATATGTACCAATATTTGGTAAGCAAGAGCTTGTACTAAATTTACTGAGAAGGGGACAATAAGGGATCCTGTAGAGGGACATTTATGTCAAAAATGTAGACTATTCTATTCAAACTTAGCACTGTTTAAACACATGCTTTTGAATGCAAAATGCACTGTTTAACACGAAAAGGCTACATTTGACCTGCTTTGCCTGCAACCCAAATGTACTTCAAATGAAACTGCTGCACCCAAAGAAATGCAGTGCAAAACAAATTAATGCAACCTCTGAACTGTCACCCACTCCCGCAGGTCACATTATACACAGGAGAAAAGTCTTCAATTTTATGGTCATGCTATATGTGCTGTTACTAATCAGTAGGAGCTCATCAAGTGCACATGGTTACAGCCTGTATGTAGTTCCATAATATCAGTCTATAAATCCATACATCAACGGGAATATATCGCAGTGGCACCTGATGAAGAACTAACTTGAAAGTTTTGGATCCATGATGATAGAATAAATCACAATCTTTGAATGGCTATGATGTAATCCCATCTTTAGTTTATGCTTCCAAGAAACAGCTATAGTATACTATTTACTAGGAAAGCATCGATACCGATACTAATATCGGTATCGCTGCCAATATCGAGTATTTGGGCGAGTACTCACCGGTAACGAGGTAACATGGAGCCGGCTTCCCGGCCAATCAGGAAGCCGGGCGGTGGGTAGTGGCTCACCACCCACCTTCCTGATTTGCCAAGAAGCTGGCTCCATGCTGTTTGGCCGGCTCGATGCTAATTGGCCGGGTAGACGGCTTTCCAGCCAATCAGTATGGAAGCGGCCAAACAGCATGGAGCCAGCTTCCCGACCAATCAGGAAGACGGGGGGCAGGGAATAAATCGCCACCCAGCTTCTTGATTGGCTAGGAAGCTGGCTCCATGCTGTTTGGCCGCTTCCATACTGATTGGCTGGAAAGCCGTCTACCCGGCCAATTAGCATCGAGCCGGCCAAACAGCATGGAGCCAGCTTCTTGGCAAATCAGGAAGGTGGGTGGTGAGCCACTACCCACCGCCCGGCTTCCTGATTGGCCGGGAAGCCGACCTCCCATCTAATCAGCATGGAGCCAGCTTCTTGGCAAATCAGGAAGGTGGGTGGTGAGCCACTACCCACCGCCCGGCTTCCTGATTGGCCGGGAAGCCGACCTCCCATCTAATCAGCATGGAGCCAGCTTCTTGGCAAATCAGGAAGGTGGGTGGTGAGCCACTACCCACCGCCCGGCTTCCTGATTGGCCGGGAAGCCGACCTCCCATCTAATCAGCATGGAGCCAGCTTCCTAGCCAATCAAGAAGCTGGGTGGCGAGTTATTACCTGCCGCCTGTCTTCCTGATTGGTCGGGAAGCTGGCTCCATGCTGTTTGGCCGCTTCCATACTGATTGGCTGGAAAGCCGTCTACCCGGCCAATTAGCATCGAGCCGGCCAAACAGCATGGAGCCAGCTTCCTGGGCAATCGAGAAGCTGGGCGGCAGGAAATGACAAGTCACCCGACTTCCTGATTGCCCGGGAAGCCGGCTCCATGCTAGCGGAAGTACCGTAATAAGTACTCAGTATGGCGAATAGGGAAAGATAAGTATCAGTACTCGATACCGAAAATCCGGTATTGGTGTATCCCCACTATTTACTTATCAGGTACCTGAACATAGTTTGGACATTACCTTACAGGGTCCAGTTCATGGGGCCCTAAAACAAAATTTTGATGTGGCTTTCTGATGACCTGCAGTGCTAACTTGGACAATACATGTTACTGTTCTTAACATAGTCATAGTCAAGTCATAGTCAAAAGCACTACTATAGACTGTAGTAGTGATAATAATTTACCATCATAATATTTTATATTATTACATAATTATTATTGCTCCTAAACACAGTAAATCTATAACAGTCATAAAAACTCTTTAAAACTCTGGCTTTGTAGAATTAAACCTCTCAGCTGTCTTATCAGGTTTTAGCTGAGGTGCACACACTTTTACAGCCTGAGAAAGACTGTGCTAGACATGCAGGGTTAACTTTACTGTTACTTGTTGCTTATTTATCTCTTGAATTTAAATTAGTTGCTGAATTGTATTAGTGTACAATTTATGCTAAATGTTAAAAAAATATATTTTATTAGAAAATGGAAATAAATTTGGCCTCATGCATAAATTTGTCTAGAGCTAGAACATCGAATATTCTCCAAAAAAATATATAATTGGTCACACCTGGCAAAATAAAATATTTCCTTTACACATATGTCTAATATATTCTGATTACTCCATTATCTAGTACACCTAGTGCAACAGCATTCATTACCTTGCTGGTGCAACTTCTGATAATGTACACTCAGCCATAACATAATGACCACCAGCCTAATATTGAGTAGGTCGCCCTTTTGCTGCCATAACAGCCCTGACCCTTTTGAGGCATGGACTCCACTAGAATTCTGAAGGTATGCTGTGGTATCTGGCACTAAGCCATAAGTAGCAAATCCCTTAAGTCCTGTAAGTTGCGAGGTGGGGCCTCTATTGATTGAAATTGTTTTTCCAGCGCATCCCACAGATACTCAATTGGAATAAGATCTGAAGAATGCGGAGGCCAACTGAACACCTCAAACTCATTGTTGTGTTCCTCAAACCATTCTTGAACCATTTTTGAAGTGTGGCGGGGTACATTATACTGATGAAAAAGGCCACTGAATTCAGGGACTTTCATTTCCCTGAAGGGGGTGTACTTGGCCAGGAACAATGTTTAGGTAGGTTTACGTGTCAAAGTAACATCTACATGAATGGCATGTCCCAAGGTTTCCCTGCAGAAGATTTTCCCAAAGCATCACACTGCCCCCGCCGGCTTGCCTTCTTCACATAGTGCATCTTGGTGCCATCTCTTCCTCAGGTAAATGACACACATGCACTTGGCCATCCATATGATGTAAAAGAAAACGTGATTCATCAGACCAGGCCACCTTCTCCCATTGTTCTGTGGTCCATTCCTGATGCTCACGTGCCCATTGTAGGCGCTTTTGTCAGTGTACACAGGTCCGCATGCGCACCCTGACTGCTCTGCAGCTATGCAGCCCCGTACGCAACAAACTGCGATACACTGTGTGTACAGACAGACACCTTTCGATCGGAACCAGCATTAACTTTTTCAGCAATTAGAGCTACAGGAGTTCTACTATTGGATCTGACTACACGGCCAGCCTTTGCTCCCCATGTGGATCAATGAGCCTTGGCTGCCCATGTTTTTATTTCACCGATTTTCCTTACTTGGACCACTTTTGGTAGGTCTTGAACACTGCAAATCGGGAACATTCCACAAGAGGTGTATTTTTAAAGTTGCTCAGACCCAGTTGTCTAGCAATTACAATTTGTCCCTTGTCAAAGTTGCTCAAATCCTTATGTTTACCCACTTTTCTGCTTCCGTCACATCAACTTCAGGGACAAAATGTTAATTTACTGCCTACAATATCCCACCAACTTCCAGGTGCCATTGTAATGAGATAATCAATGTTATTCACTTCACCTCTCATAGTGTTATGGCTACTCAGTGTATATTAATAGTATCTAGAAGCACTAAACCATTATGTCTTGTCTGTTAGTAATTTCCTACCCCTTGGTCCTGATGAGCCTGGACTCCCGGGGTTCCCTGGAGGTCCATCAAGTCCTTTAGATCCAGGAATACCTGGAGCACCTAAAGAAAAACAAAAAACAAGCAACTGTGATGACAAACTAATACTTTATTCAAGAACTTTGCCAACATTTGATAACAAAATTTGAACCTGTTTATTCTCTGGCCACCAAAACATTGAGCACCACATGCCTTCATCACTTTATCTTTTGAAGATACATGGACTTTTTCAAATGTGTGTCTGTTCATTTCATTTTCTTTTGTTTTTGTGTATTAGTTTTTCAGTATAAGGAATAACATTTTCCCTGAAATAACATATTAAGGATAGGAGATTCATATTTGAAATCTGAGTACTCAACCTTTGGCCTTGTGCATTTATATGGTTTCTGAACTGCATTGTATTCCAACATCATTTTGTTTTGCCGGAGGAGGTACATACACTGTTTAGCAAACTGATTTAAAACATGCCCAACAGTCCTCCATTTTATGCCCCCAAAATACTTTATCAATGAAACAAAGATCTATGTCAAATTACTGTAATACACTACAACACAATTTTGCATGTTTTGGTGATGGATATGCTTTCTAGTAGACCTCAGAGAACTATCACTGCTACAAAATCCATTCATTAATTATATCATCCCCGACAACATGATAAATATTTAAATCAGTGTTCATTTACCTGAAAATCCTGGGGAACCTGGATCTCCTTTAGGGCCTAAAGCACCTGGTAATCCTGGTAATCCAGGGCTTCCTGCTTCTCCTTTACTTCCAGAAGAGCCAGGAAAACCACCTGGCCCAGGATCACCCTTTGAAAAGAAATAAAAACAGTTAAAATATTTGACACTGGAAAATAAGTGGCAGTTTATAAATTGAGTACTTTTGGGATTGGACTATAGTATTAAGTATACAAAAATATAGAACAGTAAAGTAATACCTTTTGTCCAGGCAAGCCAGGTTGTCCCATGCCTGAAAGTCCTGGTTCACCTTTTTCACCTCTCGACCCACTAAATCCTGGAGGTCCCGGTGATCCAGGGCGCCCTGGCTGTCCAGGAAAGCCCTTTTCACCCAGTGGCCCTGTGATGCAATAGGTGCACATAGTTGAGTTTATTATTACAGTCACAGATGATTAAACACATTTTCAAATATCAGTGTACAGTGACTGTAACAAGGGGTTTGTATATTAACATATAATGGTAACAGAGTAGTCATATGCCATAAAAATATTGTCAATTAAACTACTTGTTATTAATAATATACTGTATATATACAGCTGATTTTGTTTTTCCACTACATTTGTGAGTTTAGATTTTTGTCAGATATTCTTAATTTTGTTGAAATAGCAATTGCAAATGTAAAGATACCTTTAGTTTATATAGTGTACAGAGTCCTGCAAATCTCATTAACAGGAGCAAGTAAGGTTTCTGTAAAATGCCCAACTCCCTAGTTACGCAATTCTTCTTAAATAAAGGGTATGTCTGAGCATTGTTTGGTTCTACGTGTGTACCTATGAGACTATAACGTTGACCTGTACTAATATATTAGCCAAAAGCTAAGTCCAATCCTCGGATAGCGTTCTTTTCAATAAATAAAGCACTTAGTATGATTTTTAGTTTATAACAATGAGTGGGTTCTTTTGTTTCCAAATGCACTGGAAAATAATCTTGTTAAATCGGAGAGGAATATATATATATATATGTACGCACGCGCACACACACACACACAGAACTATAGGATATAATTAAAGTGGACCTTCCTTCAACTACCTATAGAGTTATGATAGCAATGGAAGGCATGAATAAATAGTAGTGTTGTAGAATTACATACTTTTGTCAGCTATGTTATCTCTGCTAAAGGTTCATAATTCAACCAATCCTCTTCAGCATTTGATCATGTGATCAAATGTTTAGTCAAGTTTATGTGCATATATTATAATACATTTTTCCCCTTTGCCCCAAAACAACAAGGCCATTCCATCATGTCTTGAAGCCTACCGGGAAGTCCCATTTCTCCCATGTTCCCCTTTGGTCCAGATGACCCAGGTAATCCAGGCTGTCCAGGAAAGCCAGCATCTCCTTTAGGTCCTTTGGATATAAAATACATTTTAATTATAATGATAATTCTAGTCAATATTCCTAAAGATAAAAATATGTGTTCATGCAAATAATAGTATGACCCAGTCAGGGCAGCTGTTAGAATGGATGGAGGAATTTAGAGTTCTTTTCTCAATCCATCCATGGGTCTGAACAGGAATAAACTCGCAGTGTATGATGAGCTTAACTATCATATTTTCCTCAATAGGTTCATGGACAATGGCCTGCAACACCTGTTGGAAGATTAGTAGGAATAATAGACCTCCTAGACCAAGACCTGGGATTCATTTTCAGAATAATATTTAGGCAATACAGATCTTTAAAAAAAGGTGTCAAACCTATGATGGAACCTGTATAAAAAAGCAATGTCACTGAGCTTGAACCCAGGCTGACTTGCATCTGGTAACAATGAGAAATAAAATTGAAAATATACATTCACTTTCAAATTAAACCATTTCCCTGATTTCTGCATAGAATAGGGTCAATCAGTCCCTATACACCCAATGTAATAACATTCAGTTACTCAGTACCTGGCCTATATGGTGCTTGTATAGTGTTTAGGATCTTTGGAGCTCATTTCTCCGATTGTTGGGCTGTATGCCTTTAGCTGATCATGCACTATAGAATCTGATTATACAATCCATTTTAGATAAACCACCACTATGTAATGTAAGGGCCTGCATATTGGATATAAACTGAATGAATTGTTTAGATGTCTCCTCCTTTTACATAGTTTTGGTTCATTTAAAGGAGATTGTACAAAATGATATAATCAGATTGCAATATGTAGGCCATCCTTATGCTTGCTTCATGTGCTGCATTCAGCAGGTGCAGATAGCAATGGAGATTGTAAACACTTTAGCTTGGTAGGGCAGGTCTTAAGTAGCAGCAGTTCACTGCATCTGAGGTTTAGCAGAGGCCAGCAACACAGGAAAATATATATTTTTTTAAATTGTATTTACAGTCAAGAGAACCTGCAGCCAGAAAGATCCATGTACACTGCTGTGACCAACAAGAGAAAAGCATATCAAGTGTTTACAGTACTTCTACAATGCTTCATCAGGGTGCAACGGGGTGAACAATCTATATATAATCATTTTTTTACTACTTAATTAACTTATAAAGGTTTTCCAGAGCAGTACAGGTGAACCAAAGAGACAACACAGCAGAGCAGCTTGCTTTGGCGTTCCCTGTGTTTGATAGAAACGAATAGCTCAGCTGTCTGATATGGGATGACGTAGTCCTGTTGTGACTGTTCTGTAAACAGCTGACTTCTTTCAGCACAGCTGATATAAAAAGGGAAAATAGAGTCCCACCAGCTGGATGAGGAGAAGACTACAAAATTCGCAATATTACTTATTTAACTGATTAACAAAAAATAAATATGTTTTGCAGACCTGACCATAGTAAAAAAAGAAATAGGGCACACACAAAAGTGTATACATTGCCTATATGAATAAGATGCTAACCTTGTAAACCTGGAGGTCCTGTGGGCCCACTTTGACCTGGTGTTCCGGGATTACCAGGCATGCCACTGTAGCCTTTTTCTCCATTTAATCCAGGCGAACCTTAAAAATAACAGAAACTTTAACATTATCCAAGTTATCACCAAAGAATTAAACTATCCAGCATCCCAGGAGGAGCTACATCCAAAAGTTACAGAAAGAGATTTTCTTTTAAATATTCAAAAAAATTATTTTTTAACTTGATCACAATCACATACACAGTATATTTAAAAATGGGGGTGGGGGGGGAATCTAATGATGAAATCTATTATTACCATCTCGCCCAGGCTCTCCTTTACTTCCTTTATTAAGAAGTCCTGCACTAGTCTGTCCTGGTGGGCCCATAAGACCACGTTCTCCCTTGTCACCTCTAGAGCCAGTATTGCCGTTTAAGCCTGGCTGCCCAGGAAATCCATCAAGACCTACAAAGGGAAAATGCATAGAATTATGGGGTTACACTCATGAGGTCACAGTATTCATGCATAATTTAATGCCCAAGAGAGTTATTTACAAACAAAGAGATTAAGCCCTGTCTGGTAGGGCAGGAGAATGAGGTTCATCTCTGCTGACTTCTATTATTCAATCATGTGCAAGCAAAAATTTTTCATTGCACATGATTCGGTATTCACATTCACTAAGTTAAGGAAAAATTCCCTTTGTAAAGTGAACAGCCTATTTGCCTTTCGTAAATCAACCACAATGTGTCTTATATATGTCCACATACCTTTCCCAGTACACAGTACCATGTTTTAAAGACTGATAACAAGAACATAAAATATCAATTAAAACAGGGCAGCAAAAATATGTGAGCTGTGCCAGACTACCCAATAATGGAAGAGGACCCTTGGGTAGTCTCATTAGCTTAATGTAAACTCTACATTTACATGCACTAACTGGCCAAATGTTTGTGGACACCTGACCATCACTTATAAGCTTGCTAGACATTCCATTTCAAAAAGATGAGCATTTTCATGAAGTGGGCTTCCCTTTTTGGCAATAACAGCTTCCACCCTTCACAAGCTTTTGGAGTGTATGTGTGGAAAGTGATGTCCATTTGGCCAAAACAGCATTTGTGGGGTCAGGTAGTGATGTTGGACAAGATGACCTGGCTTGCAATTGCCATTCCAATTCATCCCGAAGATATTCATTTGGGTTAAGAGCAGGGCTCTGTGAAGGCCACTTGAGATCATACACAATTAATCCGCCAAACCATGTCTTTATGGACTTGAATTTGTGCATCTAAACTCAATAATTTGGAAGTGTGTCCACATGCTGTTGACAATATAGTGTAAAATTCACCCATTCCATGCCTGGTACAACAAATATATTGTAGGGAGACAAGAAGTTATGATGTATACAAAAGCCCATTGACACAGGATTTTATTCTTTAAATATTGCTTATTTTACCTTTTGGACCAGGAAAACCAGGACTTCCTGGAGCACCAGAATTTCCAGCTGGTCCAGGTGGTCCCATTGCTCCCATATCACCCTTTGCGCCTGTGTTAGACAAGAAAATGAAAATAAGGACTTTAATAGGTACTGAAAAAGGATACAGTAAACATGAACTGAAAAATACAAGACGCCAGAAGTAAGACAATAAGCAATTGGACAATTGAAGTTTATCAGAATATCTCTACAATATTCCATTCCCTGAGACATTGCCCACCCCTGACTTCCTAATTGGCCAGAAAGCCGGCTCCATGCTTCCTCGTCAGCTGGTGACAAGGGGACATGGAGCCAGCCAATCAGAAAGCAGGTGGTTTGTTATGGCTTCCTTAATGGGACTTCCAGTATCGGTATTCCGTATTGGCGAGTACTGAAAGAATATCAGTACTCGATACCAAAAAAATGTTATCGGTGAATCCCTAATATAAATTAATTTCCTAATTTCATATGAAGACACAAACATTGCTCACCGCTAGCGCCTGGTATCCCATCACGACCTTGAAATCCAGGTGGCCCGGGGGGTCCTGGAAATCCACGTTCTCCAGGAAATCCAGGATTACCACGTTCTCCCTGTGGCCCGGGAATATCAAATCCTGGAGGACCAGAATCCCCTTTGTCACCTTGTATACCTGGAAATCCTGGACAGCAATTAGATATTTAAGTTAGAAAGTAATTTCATAAAGATGGTAACAAAGCAAAAAAGTTGCTAATTTGTTTTTTTTACAAATGTACTCATGTTTTAAAATAATATTTCCTGAAAATTAGACCACATTTCAAAAAGTACCATAAACCGTAAAATATCAATCTTGTTTGGCTAACATAATGAACAACACATTTTCCACTTACATATACTTTTAACCTAAATGAAAAATAATACAAAAACCATTATATAACCTGGGTCTGGGAGTGTGGATGAAGCAAAACATTATTAAAAAAATGAAACTGTAATGAAATTAGAAATTTACCTGAATGTATCTACCTTTTACTGTTGTTTAGGGATGTTGCCTGGCCAACATTTACCAGAATGTCAGGTGTAACAGATATATTAACAGTCCATAACAATAAATATACTGTAGAAAGGCAGATATTCTTCCTACAGAAATAACCACACTCAGGTCACACACATATATATTCCAGCAGTGAGACCTCTGCATTTGAGTTACCAACCAACCATTCCAATAGGAATGGCACTCTCGTCAGTAGAATTCCCATTTGTTTTACATTTTAGGGAAGAAATTAAGAAGCATGGAGAATGAAGACAACCATGAAGAAAGAATAAATGAACTAAATTAAAGAACTCCAGGCAGAAATGTTATTAACCCTTGCTGTGGGGCTAACCCCGCTCTGCAAGGGTTAACTGCTCGTTTTTTTGCCTAGGTAAAACAAAATAAAAAAATTATGCCCACCTAAACCTCGGAGCCGGCTGGCTCTTATATCGGTCCCTAGAGTGTCTCTCACCCTACTCTGCAGCAATCTAGGAATCCTCGAGCCATCGTGTCCAATGCAGCGGTGGGGGAGTAGAGATGCTGGAGGGATCGCTGCGCTCTCAGAGGTTCAGGTGAGTATAACTTTTTTTCCTGTCCCCTGGGCAAAAACGAGAAGTTAACCCTTGCAGTGGGGTAGCTCCACTGCAAGGCTTAATAAGATTTCAGCCCAGAGTTCTTCTTTAAACAGTGGACTGCGGGTGCAGTGCTTAGACTCCTGGTGACTCTTCCTCCCAGTCCCTGCCAGTACTGGACCTTCAGTTACAGAAAAAGTGTAAATGGACTTACACTTAAAGGATCTGTGAATGGATGGCATGGCCGAGTGCAGCCACGCACAGCTGTGCCAATTTCAAATACAAACTGAATTCTGCAGGGGTGAAGAACCCCGGGATTCTGGTAAGAGGAGAGGGTAATTTGGGGGGTGTGGGGCTGTGCATAGTTACATAGAATTTGAGGTTGAATAAAGACACAGGTCCATCGAGTTCAATCTTTGAGTGTCTGTGTGTGATTGTGCATGTGTGTGCGTGTACACAAGTCCCTGTGTGGTCTAGTTTTTAAGAGTACCTGTACCCTTGTATGGTATGGTCTCTGAGGAAGGTATCTAAATGCTTTTTGAATGATTCATTACTCTCTGCTGATACCACTGCTTGTGGAAGCGAGTTCCAAAATGTAACCGCTCTAACTGAAAAGAATCCCCTGCACCCTTTGTGGTTAAATCTTTTCTCCTCCAATTTTAGGTGGCGGCCTCTAGTTTGTGTTATGGAGTTTACTGTAAAAAGTTTACAGTACACTGTTGCCATCACCACTAAACATGTCCCCTCTTAGTCGCCTCACTTCTAGCGTGAACAAGTTTAAATTTAGCAACCGTGTCTCATAGCTTTGGTCCTCCAGCCCCTTAATTAGTTTTGTTGCCCTTCTCTGGACTCTCTCCAGCTCCAGGACATCCTTTCTGTGGATAGGTGACCAAAACTGAACCGCATACTCAAAATGAGGCCGAACTTGTAGCCTATAAAGTGGCAACATTTTTGCTTTATCTCTACAGAACATTCCCTTTTTAATGCATGACAGTACTCTGCTCGCTTTGTTTGCTGCAGCCTGGCATTGCAAGCTATTATTCAATCTGTGGTCTACTATGACTCCCAAATCTGTTCCCATCTCTGACTTCCCTAGTGGAGTTCCCATTAATGTGTATTCTACTTACCTGTTTTTAATCCCAAAATGCATTACTTTACATTTATCAACATTCAACCTCATCTGCCATGTAGTTGCCCACTCCCCTGTTTTATTCAGGTCCTCCTGTAATGTTATAACGTCTAAGTATAACCCTGAGACACACCGCTCAAGACCCTAGACCAGTCTGAAAAGGTGCAATTTATCGATACTCTCTGTACACATTCCTGTATTCCTGTCTAAGTCCATGTCTATTACCCTCCTAATTTTAGTATCGTCTGCAAACACATGGCTATTAAGTCCTTCCCCAATATCATTAATAAACAGGGTAAACAGTATGGGGCCTAGCACAGAACCCTGGGGTACGCCACTCCCGACCTTAGACCAACCCGAGAAAGAGCCTTTATCAATACTCTCTGGAAGTGTTCATGTGGTACCGTGTCAAAAGCTTTGGCAAAGTACAGATATACCACATCCACTGGCTTTCCGCTATCCAGATCTCTACTCACCTCTTCGTAGTATGTAGGTAGGTTGGTCTGACAAGAACGGTCCTTCCTAAATCCATGCTGATTATCACTTATTATACCATTGTCATGAACAAAATCCACTAAATAGTCCTTTATCATTCCCTCAAACAGTTTGCATACTATTGATGTTAGACTGACTGGTCTGTAGTTGCCAGGTTGACATCTTGAACCTTTTTTGAATATTGGTACTAAAAATGCACCGAAATGGAAATTTCAAAACCGAAACGAAACCAAAATAAAAAAATTGTCAGGCCGAAACTGAAAATGTTTTTTATTTAAATTTTTGTTCAAATTTATTTAATATTTAATTTTTATAAACTGTCACAGGAGGCTGAGTGAGCGGTACAGGGAGGAGAGCTCAGCCTCCTGTGACAGTGCGGGCTGTCTCCGCCCACACACCGCTCTGCCAGACTGTGATAGGAGGCTGAGCGGTCTGGGAGGAGAGACGCCGGCCGCTCACAGTGCTCTCCTCTTGCAGCGCTCGGCCAGCAGTCACACTTTCTCTTCTCCCCGCTGGGACATAGAGCAGCGCCCAGCGGGGAGGAAAGAAAGCAGGGATGCGCCGTTGTATCGGCAGGAAAATGGCACTTTCGGTATTTAGCCAAAAGTGCCATTTTCGACCAATATGTTTCAGCAGCCGATATATCGGTGCATCCCTAATTGGTACTACCGTTGCCTTACGCCAATGGTACCCTTCCAGTCAGTATGGAGTCCTTGAAAATGAGGAATAATGGTCCCGCTATAACTTGGCTGAGTTCTTTAAGTACCCTAGGGTGCAGGTTATCTGATCCTAACGATTTATTTGCATTATGTTTTTCTAGTCTTGAGAAGTTGAACCCCGGCTACTGTCAACCACTGCGGTATCTTACACACTGAGCTAATAACATTTGTATCTCCATTAAACCATTTTTCTTGATTGTATTCTGAGGAGAAAAATGAATTTAATACCTCAGCCTTCTCCCTGTCGTTTGTGATTAATCTTCCATTCTCATCTTTTATTGGGCCCACCTATTCTTTTCTTACCCTCTGGGGGGTGTGAGGCTGTGGATGTAACCATGTTTCATGTTACAATGTAAATAGGGTTGTAACATGAAATGTGGAGTTAATTGGATTACTGCTAATTAAAGAGCGTACTTTTTGTTCCTGCTGTTAAAGAGTAGTAAGATATGTGAAAATGTGGAATGGGTCTCCATAGGAGCTAGTTCCAATGAACACTATAGATTGCTACAAAAAAAGGTGTGGTTCAAATATGGTGCTATGAAAGAGAACACAAAATAACAGTCAAAGACACCATTACTTATCACACCCGCATGTATTTCATTCTCTTATCTCTACCAGCATACGAAACAAAAATAAAAAAAATGTTTGTTAGTGTTGCTAAAACTTTGTTTGTAGCCTTAGGCTTGACCAAAACTTTTCATATGTTCCGCATTATACCTGCCACACCCAAAAAAAATTTGTATTGTGCAGTAACTATATCAGTAAAGGAGCCGATAATGCAATTGTGAAAAATATATTCACATTTATGTATGTACCTATGTGTATTTTTTTGTATTGTTTCCACCAGATGGCATGTTCTAATCCTTCCCTACACCATCAGATTAAACAAAAACTTTTCTATATAACAGTTTAAGATTTGTCTCAATTACAGCAAATGTGTATCCTACCAATCTGTTCATATCGGCCACAAAAATAAGCTCAGGTGCATTATTTGGTGTTCATTCTCACCTAGTACATGTTTTTTTTGGTTATTATTTACTGAAAAGTCTTAGAAAGATATTAGAGTGGAAAACCAACAACAGTACCTGGTTGACCTTGGGTCACAAATCATCAGGTTTAGGATCATCGGGAGGCATCAAGCAGAAATAAGTTGCAAAATATGTTGTCAGGAAGATGTTAGGTTAAGATAAAAAATTAAGCACATACATGTTACAAAAGACAAAAGTTAATTAAAAGAAAGGAAAACAACATATAATTAAAGCACGAACTGTACAATTTGATTAATTAAATAAGTAAAGCTGTTCATCTTATAGTCAATTTTTCTATTATTCAGTCACCCGTAAAAATATGTATTTTTAAATGTTTCTCTTTCCCCCATTGCCACCTCTAATCTACTCTAAACAGGTAACAATGGAGGGATTATATTGTACTGGTGGGAGGCATATATTGAGGTTTAGCTAAAGACCATTATTAACTATTATATCAGTAACACTCTACACTCACTTTAATACTGAGTTGCCCAATATCACTTAGGCTTAATATTTACAAAAAAAAATATTGCCCCTCAAAACGGTCATGGCTGCTATTATCCTGATACAGGTGTAGCTAAGAGATGCTCCTCTAGGACATCCTATTCATCTAAATATAACCTGAATAAACACTAGCTGTTTGATAGGCTTCTACTCTGACAATGCTCTGAAATCATTTTCATTAAAACAACTTGCAAAGTATGTATGAAAATGGATCAAGTCTGTTCACTAAAAACAGCCTCTACATGGGAGACATAAGCCAACCACCCATAAAATAATAATACAACTTTCTTCCATTGCCTCCAAATATTAGAGATGGGAAAAATTCCATGAGGGAGAGGAAATGTAATGGATAAAATAGACTATAACCTTTTAAATTAAACAGGGGCAATTTAAAAAGAACAGTGCTCTCTGATTGAAACAACAATAAAAATGTACATTGATAACTTGTAAACCAATATGGATCCATGAATAAGTAAAAGACAAGAAGACAATGGAGAGAATGAAAAATATAACAGCTGGTACCAAACAACTGCAATTAAAAATATTAAGCACAATCTACCGTTTGTGCTTTAGGATTCCTTTTGGACTACACTGTAATATTAAAAGTCTGGTCATCCTAATATTGCTACAATAATTTACAT